AGAGATAGGTTAGTGTCTATGATGAGGACGAGGAGTTTTAGAAGTTTGCTGGGACTAATCACTAACCTTCTCAGTTTGTAGCGTGGCAGGTGTTGTAGACGTGCTGGTACCGGTGACGTTACTAGTGCGGAGTGAACTGCAGCTGCGGATCAGACTTTGGAGCTGTGCGTGGTTTGTGGAGGATATATCCAGAGGCAGGGTCCAGAAAACGTAGCAGAGTTCATACACAGGACAAGAGAAAGCAGAGACCAGAACGAAATCGTGATCCATAGGCCTAGTCAAAGGAGGAGGAAGGGAGAGTCGCTACCGTGGTTAGATGTCGCAGTAATAAATCCAAAAAGGGTCAGGCAAAGCGAGGGGTCTGTGAATACAGGTGAAGGGTCAAGGCAAGGAAGAAGACCAGCATGAAACACTGGATATTTACCTACACCTACACCCCCCTGAACATAAGAGGATCTGCAGTGGAAGTGGTCTCCAGCTACAAGTACTTGGGGGTACACATGAATGACAACCTCAGCTGGAGCAACAACACCACCAGCCTGATCAAGAAAGCTCATCAGAGACTCTACTTCCTCAGACGGCTGAGGCGAGCTGGTCTGGGAAGCTCAGTCCTCACCTCCTTCTACAGGTGTGCAGTGGAGAGCATCCTGTGCTCGAGCATCAATGTGTGGCATGGAGGCTGCACAGCTGCAGAAAGAAAAGCTTTGCAGAGAGTGGTGAAGGCTGCACAGAAATCTGTTGGAATCAGTCTCCCCACCATCACAGACATCTACACCTCCAGATGCAGGAAGAGGGCCACCTGCATCATGAAGGACCCCACCCACCCAGCACACACACTTTTTGCCCCACTCCCCTCAGGAAGGAGGTTGAGGAGCATTAAGTGTAGAACCACTAGACTGAGGAACAGCTTCTACCCTGAGGCTGTTAGACTCATGAATCTCTAACTAGAATAATCACTGTGAAAAACCATATCATGTTGCTGCTGATCTGTTTCAATGTTGCTGCTGATCTCTTTCAATGTTGATGTGTTCATGCGTGCACATCTGCTCACAGACTCATGTTCATGTTTGTGCTGATGTTCAATGTTTTATGTTATGAGTGCTTAGTGTATATTTAGTTGATGTTTTTCTTAGTTCATATCTTAGATGTTATTACTGTTTTTCTTATACATTTTATTGTTGGATGTAACTGGGACCCTGTGTACATAATTTCGCTCCACCACATGTACCACATGAGGTGCGAATGACAATAAAGAAACTCTGACTCTGATATTTACTGGCAAAGAGCTTTCTATAATCTGGTGATGACTGAATGGAAACCTAGTGTTTTTAAAGGGCAGGTGACAGGTGGATGGCATGAGCACTGATTTCAGAGGGAGCGTGGTGCTGGATGAATGGAGCAGGATGAAGAGAGCCAAGATGAACTGTGATACTGAATAAAACATGAACAGATAGACTGTGGCCTGAGAAAGGGGTAAAACATGACATGAGCATTAAATAACTGGAGGAAGGACCATTATGTTGAACACATTGCCTCTGGTCTGAGAGATAGTTAGAGAACCAACCAATGGTGTGAGCTGAAAAAACAATTTCTGAGAACTTATGACATAAGATGTCATGGCCCACAGTGTCAAAAGCTTTAGACAGGTCTAAGAAAAGTGCAGCACAATAATCCTTAGCATCCAGTGCTTCAACAACATCATTAAGAACCTTCAGTGAAGCAGTGGTTGTGCTGTGTTGCTTCCTGAAACCAGATTGATGTGGAGGTAAGATGTTAAATGAGTCCAGGTAATTTTTGATTTGAGAGTTTATCAGTTTTTCTAGAACCTTGGCTAAAATGCAGAGTTTAGAGATTGGTCGATAGTTGTTCAGTGAGGTTGGTTCACCTCCATTCAGTAACCGACACTGTTTTGACATCACGTTTTAGTACCTCATTGTTCGGGGTAGGAACGTAGACGGACCGTTAAACAGAGAGCTTTGCCTTATGGCTCAGCTCCCTCTTCACCACAATGGGCTGACATAGAGTCCACAATACTGCAGCCGCTGCACCAATCCGTCTGTCAATCTCACGCTCCATTCTTCCCTCACTCATGAACAAAACCCAGAGATACTTGAACTCCTCCACTTGAGGTAGAACCTAACCTTCGACACGAAGAGAGCAATCCACTATTTTCCAACTAAGGAACATGGCCTCAGATTTGGAGGTGCTGATTCTCATCACAGCTGCTTCACCCTGTTCATCTCCTGCTGGGACCCTGTGCACATAATTTCGCTCCACCACATGTACCACATGAGGTGCGAATGACAATAAAGAAACTCTGACTCTGACTTCACACTCAGCTGTGATCCACTCCAGTGAGAGCTGAAGATCATGGCACAATGACACTAACAGGAGCACATCATCTGCAAAGAGCAGAGATGGAATCCTGAGGCCACTGAACTGGACTCCCTCCGCCCCCTGCGCACCGAGAAATTCTGTCCATGAAAGTTATGAACAGAATCTGTGACAATGAGTAGCCTTGGTGAATGATGGACGATTTCTTTTCACAAAGATGGCCTCTTTTAGAAGAAGAAACCATCCATCATTAAACAGGGGTGGAGGCCTCCGGGTTCAACTGTCCCCCTCTTACAATGCTGTGATTGCTAGTATCACTCAGCCCTCTGTGAGTAGTAAACAGCCATCAGGTGCTAATGATCCATTGTTAGGCTGATGGTCCTTCTTGAGCATGTGATCAGCTGGTTTTGGTTGTCAGCAGCAAACTGGTTGATCCACTCTGAGAAGGTGCTATTTAAGAGACTGAGCTGAATACAGCACCTCAGACTGAGGAAGTCTCTCGGACGAGAGACGAAACGTTTCTACATTTTTTGTTGTTTTGATTTGTTTTGGTTTTTTTTGAATGTCCAGAGGACCAGATTTAACTTTTTTAGATTTTTCTACCTGGATTATTGAGCATGCATCAGGATATGGAGCTAGTTGTTTTCTATAAAGTGCAGTTTGGTAACACTGAAAATGTAAGTAACGATCGGCAGGACCAGGACAGACAAACGTTGGACTTTGGTTTGGACCTTTTACTGGGAGGAAATATTCGTAACTGGACCTCAGTGAATTTTAATTGAATACCCCTGGTCTAAGTTCTAGAATGAACTTCTGGCTCATTTCTACTTCCTATAAATTATATTAGTAAGAGATAGCTCTGCCTCATCTTTAACTGATCATTGTTTCATTTCAATATTTCTTTTGTTTTCAGGTCATGTCCTGGTCTAACCTGCTTTTGGAAATTCAGTTACACTCTTTAAATAATATTGGTTTCTGTAAAGCTGTCAGACAACTGGTAGTGGAAATCAATGCTTTACAAATGTCACCTGCAAGTAAATGGGAATGGCTTAAATTTAAGATGAGAACAGGCAATTTTTACAAGTAAAAATCTGTGTAATGAAAACACCTTAAAATCATTATCATCCATCCATCTAGTGCTTATCCACAGTTGGGTCGTAGAGGAAACGAGTCCAGGAGAGAAACCCCGACATCCCTCTCTCCAGAGACTCTTTCCAGCTTTTCATCCAACCTTTATTTCTACAGGTTAATCCCACTGAGCCTCCAGGACTCATTTACAAGAGAGACCTGATTTAAACAAAGAGCGATGACAACAGTACACAATCATAAAAGAGGCATACAGATTTTTATTTATTTTTAATCTTGGGGATGTTCCATGAGGGAGCACTACAGCTTGCTCTGGATCTGAGGCATTCCCAGGCCAGAGAAGATACGCAACCCCTTCAGTGACTCCTGTGTCTTCTCCTCCCTGGGACCTCCTACCAGAGGGGCGTGCCTGGAAAACCTCTACAGGGAGGCATCTTAATCAGATTCGTGTGCAAAGTGACCCTTTAGCACTGATTCAACTAATCAAACATGTCGTTGTGTATTCCAGTCTGACTGCTTTAGTGTCCACATTAAAACTAAATGACTAGAACTTAGTTGATGCCAAGTGCAATAACAAATTAATCAACAAGGTATGAGAAAATGGATTTACTATGAATATAATCGATTCTTTCAAGAAACTTCCTTATAAAAATGATAAATACATCTATGTATAAATAAAGGTTGAATTAAACAAATACATAAAGACCTTTGCTCATTCCAAATTTGTCAAATGGCCATATCTCCTAAAGTGAAGGAGATATATTCTAAAAATAATAAATAAGATGTATCCTGTAGCCATGTTTCTTGAAAGAAGATTCAAATGTGATGTTGATTTTTGTACCTTTTAACCTGTTATCAGGAGATAAATGCCTGCAGCATTAAGTTTTATTCATGCCAGTGTTCACAAATTATTTGGACAGCCATTAGAAACTAGATTAAAGTCAAACTTCAAATTCCTGCTTATGATGTTGATGCCTCTTTATTTTATGTGGATAACTTAAATTCAGCTTTTTCTGATGTCATAAATTTAGTTATACAAATACCACATTCACTGGAGGGATAATAATTCCTGCGTCCCCTGTTTCATGAACAAATTTACATCACACAAGTAGATTACAAAACTGGAAAACTGCTAGAATCATCTCGCACCAAATCTAGTGTAAAACATTATTGTTTTAAATTTCCCATTGAATGGCTTTGTTCCTGTGACCTGTCTTATTTTATATTGTTATCATTATTCTGCGACCACAACTTGTAATTTGTAGGTATGACACCCCTCACGACAGTTTGTCTTCATGCACAGCTCTGTGCTGCTTAATAAATAAATAAATAATAAATTATTAAAAAGTCTCCAGCAGCCGCCCAGCAGACTTCCGTAAGACTTTCAAAATAAAAGTCTAATTTATTGAAGAAAAACAAATAAAATTTAAGTAATTTTTGAAAGCTAGAGGTCGCTTTCAAGTTATTTTTAATTTGAAAATGTCTTAAACTTTGTTTTATTTCTTTTCCTTTGTCGACGTTTACGTGCTAGTTTAAAACATAGACGTCAGCTTTGACCCGGAAGTAGTTTCTCCATCGTCAACAAGGTTGTTTTTTTTTGGTCCGGCTGTGTAGACTTCATTTATCAATCTGCATTATAATTGTACGCTGTTTGTATTTTTAATTAAATACACTTTATACAATGATTAAATGGCGGATATTGTGAATCAAGGGAACGAAGGAGATCTTCAGGCTCAAGTAAGGTTTAAAAATAACCTTTGACATTTTCATCGTTGCATGTGTTTGTGTCAGGTTCCTGCTGTGTTGGGAAGTGTCTAATCCTTAGTCTTAGTTAATGGGCATGGATTTGATGTCTTAGTTAATGGGAACAGGCAGCTCTGAAGCACAGAGTTAAATGAAGGAACAAAAAGTTGCAGATTTGTATCAAGATTTCTGGATCTGTTTCAGTGAAGTTAGACGCTAATGGTTAGGAGTGCAGTGTGAGAGCACATTAATCATCTGACTGATCAGCTGCTCAAAGCACATTCATCTTCTCCACAATCATAGTTACAGATTCATATAGCAAGGATTTCTTCCTTGAACAATGTCACTTTTCTAATTTGTGCATAGGACTTTTAGCGTCACACATCACGTTCCTTGCTAAACTCCTAAGACCCGAACTCTTGCATCTGTGGATGCCAGGTTGTATACATCTGTGGATGCCAGGTTGTTTACATGTGGATGCCAGGTTGTATACATCTATGGATGCCATGTTGTTTACATGTGGATGCCAGGTTGTATACATATGTGGATGCCAGGTTATCGACATATGTCGATGCCAGGTTGTATACATATGTGGATGCCAGGTTATCGACATATGTGGATACCAGGTTATCGACATATGTGGATGCCAGGTTGTCCACATCTGGATGCCAGGTTGTATACATATGTGGATGCCAGGTTGTCCACATCTGGATGCCAGGTTGTATACATATGTGGATGCCAGGTTGTCCACATCTGGATGCCAGGTTGTATACATATGTGGATGCCAGGTTATTGACATATGTGGATGCCAGGTTGTATACATATGTAGATTCCAGGTTGTCCACATCTGGATGCCAGGTTGTATACATATGTGGATGCCAGGTTGTATACATATGTGGATGCCAGGTTGTATTAATATGTGGATGCCAGGTTATCGACATATGTGGATGCCAGGTTGTCCACATCTGGATGCCAGGTTGTCCACATCTGGATGCCAGGTTGTATACATATGTGGATGCCAGGTCCTAAAAAAAATGATCAATATGGAAATCTGAATTAAAATCTAAAGACTAATACCACGACGGCTTAGTGGTTAGCACTGTGGCTTCATAGCAATAAGGTCCTGGGTTCAATTCCCGGGTAGGACTTAGGGTCTTTCTGTGTGAAGTTTGCATGTTCTCCTTATGTTTGTGTGGGTTTTCATGTGGTTATCTCCCACATGCTAAAAATCTCAGAGCCAGGCTTCTTTTGTAAAATAGATCGGTGATTTTCTTTCTCAGGATGGATAAGATGAACAAACACACACAGAGGGTTTAAGTTCAAGGTTCTTTATTGTTATTCGCTTCACATGTGGTGGAATGAAACTGTACTGAAGGTCCCAGTTACACCCCAAAATATAAAGTATAAAAAACAGTATATAAGGATCTAAGATATACGCTAAATACTAATAATGTAAAATATAATGCGGTACAGTATATTAAACAGCAGCCCGAACATGAGTCTGTAGTGAACAGATGGGTATGAATACAGCAGCATAAAGGCATGAGATCAGCAGCTGGGATAATCAGCAGCACAAATAAGTCACATATCACCAAATAAAGTGACATTACAGTGATTTATTTATTTTTACTGGTTAGGGATTTATGAGTCTTAACAGCCTCAGGGTAGAAGCTGTTCCTCAGTCTATTGGTTCTACACTTAATGCTCTTAAACCTCCTTCCTGAGGGGAGCGGGGCAAACAGTGTGTGTGCTGGGTGAGTGGGGTCCTTCATGATGCAGGTGACCCTCTTTTTGCATCTAGAGGTGTAGACGTCTGTGATGGTGGGGAGACTGACTCCAACAGACTTCTGTGCAGCCTTCACCACTCTCTGCAAAGCTGGGGGTGTAGGTGTGTTTGTTCCTTCTGAAGTCCACAATCATCTCCTTCGTCTTCTTCACATTGATGTGAAGGTTATTCTCTTTGCACCAGCTCTCCAGGTGTTCCACCTCCTGTCTGTAGCTGGACTCATCATTGTTTGTGATGCATCCCACCACACCTGTATCATCTGCAAACTTTACAATGAGACAGCCTGGATGGGTAGGTGCACAGTCATACGTGAGCAGAGTGAACAGGAGATGGCTCAGAACACATCCCTGAGGTGAGCCAGTGCTGAGGGTTATGGTGGAGGAGGAGAAGTTGTGGATCCTCACTGACTGAGGTCTGTTTGTTAAGAAGTCCAGGGCAGGACCCAGTTGTAAATGGAGGGGCTTAGTCCTAGTGTGAGTAGCTTGCCCTTCAGGGTTTGGGGGATCATGGTGTTGAAGGCAGATGTGAAGTCCACAAAGAGCATACGGACGTAGGAGTCCTGCTCCAGGTGGGTGAGAGCAGTGTTGACCACAGAGGAGATGGCTTCTTCTGGAGATTGATTCTTGCGGTATGTGTACTGGTGGTGAGGATCCTCATTGATGTTAATGATTGTTCTGATGTGGGTCTTGACCAGTTTTTCGAAGCATTTAGTGACTATCGGGGTGAGGGCCACTGTAGAGCTTTTTGGGACTGGGATGATGGTTGCGGTCTTCGGGCAGGTGGGAACTGTTGCCAGAGTAAGTGAGGAGTTAAAGATGTTGGCCAGCACCTCGCAGAGCTGACTGACACATTTGTTGAGAAGGGGTTCTCTGCAGACCCAAAGTGGGCGTTTCTGGAGAATAGGTGTTTGTGAGGGGCAAACACTGATTGGCTGACTGTATTTGCTGCTCTTTAGGTAAGTTACATCAACTCTTTTTAAACTGTGGAACAAACTTTGGAGTAAGCTGTTGGGGGAAGAATCAGTTTTGTTGTGTGTTTCCTTTACTGATGAAGCCTTCTGGATGGAAGGCGAAACGTTTCAGCACAAAAAAAGAAACAGTCCCGATGACCTGACTGAAAAATGTTGGATTAAGTCAAAGTGTTTAACTGTTAATTTGAAGATTACTTGGAAATGGATTCAGTGTTTGCTTTGATATTACTTACACATTCAATCGGTCCGCTGTCATTTGGCACCCTCTTTCTGTCTGTTTAATGACGGTGGTGGTGTTTCCCTTTTTGGTGATCATTTGTTTCATCTCTTTATATGTATCCGTGATTATCCGTTGCTCCACTGCAGAGAAGTGCACGGCACGTGTCTTGCTGTCCATGTTGGATCAGGAAATCTGTGATCCATTGAATGGGTCTTACAGGAAAACTGTGAACCTGCATTCATCTGAGATGATTTACACCTGGCTTGGATTAGAAGCCCAGTTTAAGCATGGCTTGACGTTTGTGCAACCAGTTAATCTTGCTTGCAAGTTCAAGTGTGGCTTCCTGCCGGTATCCTGGATGTATAAATCCTACTTTTGTGCAACAAACTCTGGTCGGGATTTGGACACCCCAATGGCACAGTGGTAAGTCAGTGACACCCTGACACCCTGTAAGTGCCTAAATCCTAAGTGTCCTCCCTTCACTGGCTCTCTGTATGTATGAGAACAGATTTTAAAATTCTCCTGCTGACCTCTGAGTGCATTAATGGCCTTGCACCTTCATATCTCTCTGACCTACTTCAACTTTATGTTGCTGCTCGGGCACTGAGATCATCTGATCAACTGCTTTTGTTGACGCTCAGAGGAGACGGGGCTTCTTCAGTCATGGACCCTCAACTTTGGAACAATCTGCCCCCCAACATCAGACAGGCCACTGCACTTCCTGCTTTTTAACCTCTTACAAACACACCTGTGACTTTAACACAGTGTGATTTGATTTAGTATTTTATTGTTCTGTGTTTTTGTGCTTTTAATTAATTTTTATTTTTTCATAAAATTACTGCCATTGATTTTTAATTGTTAAGCACTTTGGTAAAAATAAAAACACAGCTGTTTTTAATGTTAGTTTTTAAAGTGCTTTATAAATAAATTTGATGACTTGTCTTTGACCTTTACTCAGTGTTTTGAGCAACTGTTGGATGTCCTGGCAGCTGCCTGATAACAGTACCGCACCGTCTCTGCTCTCTGCTGCTTGTTCTCAAGCTGCCAGCGTTTTGTAAAACTGAATCTTTTACATACTCAGTGCTGGTCTGCATGAGGATCAAATTATAACCAAGTTGGACCATCCTATCTGGTTGGCTAACTATATTTTTGTCAGATAATGTATTTAATATGTACTGAAGTCTTTAGGCAAACAAAACATCTCAAAGGACACAAGTCATTCACTCATTTATTAGTAAAGCAACAAAAGCACATTCTTGTACTAGAGATGAATTTAATTATTTTTATTTTATACCTTGTGTTTTTTTCAAGCATGATGGGATTTCTCAAGTTCTCGCTTGAACAGTTGAGCTTATGAATTATATGAATCCATGATAAATATAATTTCTTTAACTAATTTATGTATTTTCTTTGTTGTCATTTTTTTCTCATTCAGATTGAAGAGGTTGAGGCTTTGTCTTCCATCTACGGTGATGAATGGTGCGTGATAGATGAAGCGTCCAGAATATTTTGCATCAAAATATCCAGTGACACCGAGGAGCCAAAACTGACAGCATGTTTGCAGGTGCAGAAAATAAAACCATTCTCAAGTGGCCCTCGTTCCAGTTTGTTGTAAAGCACTTTTTAATGTTTCCCCATCAGGTAATTCTCCCAGCTGATTATCCAAGCGCAGCTCCACCCATCTATCAGATCAAGTAAGTTTATTTGCCTTTCAGATTTAATATGGGGGGGGGGGGGGGGTCTCCTGATTTGAAAGATCAGCGTCCTACTC